TACACACCTCTATTAAAGCTTGGCTTCTTTTCACCATATTTATTCCCAGATAATTTTTCTGAATTCTGATTTAAGAAAGCTAGTCGGATGACCAGCAAAACTTCTTCAAGAGAAAAAAAACCAACAAGTTCAGTTGCCTTGATTTATTTTTTACAGATAAAACTTACAATAAACAATAAAATGTGAAGAAAAAAAACTCACTTATGTTCTGGTAAATAAACCTGTGGGTAGAGGATAAAATGACAAGAAAGAAAAAAGTAGAATTTCCCAAATATGTTATAAAAATCTCTAAAATAATGCCACACATGTTTTCTATAAAAAAAACACAAAAAAAAACATTGTATATTTATGAAGTAAAAGAAACATTAGTACATTTATAAAGCTACGCATTTTGATTCGACTTAGAAGCAATCTGGCCCAGGTAACAGGGGAATGTACCAAGCTGAATTGGAGCAGTGGAGGATTCCAATGTAATTCAGCTTCTACCTTGATTTGTACATAGACTGATTAAACATACAGGATATCGGCATTACAGCAATAAACATGGAACTGGTACTCAATATTAACATTCCTGACTGTAATCATATGACTACACTGGTTCATAGAAATAACCTCATAAAATGCTTTACTTTTTTTTATCTAGCTTTTCCTATGGATTGGTAAATCATCCAATGAATATGAGAAAAATGAATCGATTAACAGTGCCAAAGAGTATCTGAGATCGCACCCTGCGGGACGGGACCAGTCCACACCGATAGTCACAGTGAAACAAGGACATGAACCCCCAACTTTTACCGGCTGGTTTAATGCTTGGGACTCTCATAAGTGGAATGTAAGTAACATCATCACCCCCACTTCTGTAAGATGTGTATATAATAATGTAAGCAGACGCAGCAGATATCTTCTATATATAGATACTAGGGAATGCATGAAATATCAAACATTTTGACAGAAAACGGTACTTTGGGCAAAATGCCGACTTTGGCTTCTTTATGTTAGCCTGAAGAGCAGAAGGTTTGGAAAGAATTTACAAAGCATTTCAAAATGTTTGCAGCAAATTGTGTGAAGCCCTAAAAGTCTATGGACTTCATCTTTTACCCTTGCCCCTTGTACACTGTTGCAACAAACATGAACTGTTTTATAAAGCCCCAGATATTTATTATGTTTGTCTGATATTATATTGGTCTATTTTTCATCAGTCTGACCTGTCGTATGAGGATATGAAGAAGAATTTGGGTGATGTCTCTCAGATTTCACAGATCAGTGTGGTAAGTCTGCTGGGATGCCGGTAGGATTGAAGCCCATATGCTACATGCGAAGGAACATTAGTGTTGTAGAGCAAAACATATTATGTACAGTATATAGCCTTAATGTAGCAATCAGCTGTGGAAATGTGTGGTGGGTTGTGTTTAAATCCCTGATTCTCTAGGACAAATGTGCATGCAGCAGGAGCTCTATGCTGGGATACAGAAGAAGATACTGTACTTGTTAATGATGGCTGCACTTTGTGTATGTAAAGAAAATAGAATGTTTAAATTATAACAACTATCTGCAAGGAGTTTGCGTGTTCTCCCTGTGCTTGTCTGGGTTTCCTCCGGGTACTCCGTTTTCCTCCCACACTCCAAAGACATGCTGGAAGGTTAATTGGCTCCTGTCTAAAGTGGCCCTGTGAGCATGTGAGATAGGGACCTTAGATTGCAAGCTCCTTGAGGGCCGGAACTTATGTGAATGTGCAACTATGTAAAGCGCTGTGTAAATTGTTGGCGCTATATACAGTAAATACCAATAATAAACACATGCCATATTCACATTTCACCTTGCAGCCTCTCTAAAAGCCTAGTAGGATGAGTTTCTAAAAATGTGTTTTTTTTGTACTGAAATAATAGTCAGTCTGCCCAGAATACCCAGTTTCTGCACCTTGGAGTCCTAAGTTACCCGCAATGAGGTTAACTCATGGTTTTGCAGAGGTCTCTTTAAATATAAAGAGACAACTGTAAATACAGTGAGGGGGATTTATCAAAACTGGAGAAGACAAAATCTGGAGCAGTTGCCTATGGCAACCAATCATCTTCTCTCTTTCATTTTCAAATCTTAACTGAACAAACTGAAGAGAGAAGCTGATTGGTTGCCATAGGCAACTGCTCCAGATTTTGTCTTCTCCAGTTTTGATAAATTCCCCCCAGTATTTATTGTAAAAGTGGCAGAGCATTTGATGCACTAAATCTTGGCAAATAAATATCACACAAGCACTATGGGTTAGCTAAAGTGACAGCACAGCAGACAACGCTTGCTTTGAGGCTCTGTATGTTTGATTGACAGTGCTAACTCAGCCATCTGATAATGGGATAAGCTACTGCTATAAACAAATATTTTAGCTCAGTAGAGGTAATTATGTAAAAAGGAGACTAGAGCTGCCCATACACTATGTGAATTTCATCTGGTACTTGATGAACCGGCCGGAATTCGCACAGTGGGTGCCGCTGTCGGCACCTTTTTGGCCGGCGTCCCTCAATCAGCTGATCGAAGGAGCCTGTCGGAAAATCTTCAAATGAACAGAGATGGCAGATAATGAGCTGCCGGCTCTGTTTGGGTATTCTGACAGCGACTGAATACAATGAAGCCAGCAGGAGATTCATCATTTAGTGCTTGTAAGCATTGATGGAGGAATCTGCTTTATTTTCTTTGTTCAGCCCCCAGATATAATGAAAAAGATATTACAGGGTATGGGCATCTTAGAGCTCCACCTGCTGGCTGGATAGAAGACTACAACACATTGATATATAATGTAATATTTCATATTTACCTAATATTTTTTCATAGCATAATGCATACAAAATTCAAAACATGACTGCATATTCTATTAAAAGAGAAAAAAAGTGTGTATTTCTAGTGAGGAGATATTTTATTTTATTATTGCAGTGTTTACCTTAAAGCGACCCTGTCAGCACATGGTCACGTTGTATGTTAGCGCATAAGAAGTAATATACTTACCTTTACGGTTGCCATTTGTTAATATGCCACTCCTTCGCTAGTCTCTAGACGCTGCAAGTATTTTAGCCGATGTATGGGTTGAATACCTGTTTCCCCTATTGTACCTGCATTAGAGAGCCACACATACCACAAAAGCTTATGCCTGTGCATTCGGTTGTCCTGTGCAGAAAAACGGCCTGTTTGTCATGCATTGTTGTATGTTAACAGCTCATTCAAAATAAACTAGTTGCCTTGTGCAAGGTGCTTCAACTCCTTGTCCTATGGTGTGGATTGGCCCCTTGTGAGAAGATCAGAAAATCACATCCTTTGTGTAGTGCACAAAGCAGGAAGCAAAGCCTGTGTCTGTAATGAGCAAATATGGCTGCCTGCAACTACCTATAATACATGCTAAGCGTAAAAACAAATATTAAAAAAAAAAAAAAAACATTAAAACACTGATAACATTATTTATTTCTCCAGGACTTACAAAACACAAACATAAATGCGAACAGCTCAAGTAACGTCAGTGCTCCAACAAGTAACGTCAGTGCTCCAACAAAGAAGGTCAGCGCTCCAGCAAATACGGAGAATAGCAATGTGACAGTTCCAGCGTATCAGCCACACAGGAATGCAAACCTGCCGATCAGCAATGGTAATCACACTGCCACCAATGGCACCCCTAGCAACAGCAACTCTGTTGTAGATGGTCTCCCACAAAGCAATGGAAACAATGTGTTCAACAAGGACCTGCTTATTAACAAAAATACAGAGGACCTGCCTGATGGAGTAGACCCTACGAAAAAAGAGGCAAGTAGAATTTGGTCAACAACTAATGTTAACAAATGCAGATATGTGACAACCACATTTAGAATGCACCTGCCATTCTGGGCAAAGCAGCAGGTTCAGTTTAAACCCAACCTCCGTACCATCTAATGCTTTGATTTTTTCAGGTTCACTTTAAAGCAAACCCGCACAGCATCTAATACTTCCCTTCATTTTCCCACTCCTAGGAGTCAGGTCAAGAATCCTAGTGTAAGCTCACAGGGCACAACTACTACATAGACAATAGACCTGCCCCCATGTGTCAGTACTGGGCCAATGACCAAGCACCAGAGTGATTCTGATGCCGGAAGTACTGAATATTTTTGTTCATCCCCAGCATTGAAGTGACGGGAGGGTGAGCGAATGCAAGATGGAGGCTGGGCATAAAAATGAACCTGCAAAAAAGAACAGCGCCTTCTCCTCGTGAAATACTGTTTAATTCGTCAATAAAAAACTGAATGGAAATATACTCGCAAACATACAGGTCTATTCGCTAAAGGGTGAAGGGGTTGGAGAAGGCAGGAGAAGTGAACAATCTAGGACAACATAGCTGATTTGGAAAAAGTCTCCAATTCAGCTCACTTTCCAGTTCAGCTATGTTGTCCTAGATTGTTCACTTCTCCTGCCTTCTCCAGACTCTTCACCCTTTAGTGAATAGACCCCATAGTCTGCATACTGGGCATTCAGAATAGAGCAGATCTGTCCATTATGCCATTTGCTCTGAGGAAGAGGGTTCATCCCTGAAACCGCGTCAGCAAGGCTTAATAGATTGCTTCTGCTCACATTCTGGATATCTGACAGTTCTACATGGTGCCGACCATAGTCCACCAGCTTGGACGGTTGCTCTGAATGCCCAGTATACAGACTATGTTTGTGAGTATATTTTTATTCAGTTTTTTATTAACAAATTAAACAGTTTTTCACGAGTTGAAGGTGCTGTTCTTTTTTGCATGTTCTGTGAGGCTTCCCAACCTGTCTTTGAACAGCAGTTTCCTCTGTGCGTTGTTACTCGTTACTCTGAGACCTCCATCAAGCGCTGACAGATTGGAAAATAAAAATGAACCTGTTTGCTGTGCCTGTAAAAAAACAGAGGCTCACTTTAGGCCCCGTTCCCACTGCGCGATATGCAAATCGCGCGTTTGTCACGCGATTTGCATATTGCGCGATATCGCGTTCAAGCTTGCATTGAGCAAGCTTGAATTGCGGCTAAATCCGCTCCAAAAAGGGTCCTGCTGTAGCGACGCACGACCCACGACAACAGGACCCTTTGCCCCATTGAAATGCATTGGAGCGCGATATCGCGGGAATTACCGCACGATAAATCGCTCAATGTGAACGGGGCTTTAATGTTTGGACTTTGTTGCCCGCCATCATTAGCCGATTCCTTGTCAGCATCCCTAACATCAACATTTCAGGCTCTGAATGTGGTGTGTGGTGTGTGGAAATGTACTGAGGGGAGGGGAGAATGTCTGCAGTCATTTTTGTTGCCATCTCTGATAGCCAGTCCTGGGCATGCTTAGGGAGCTTGCTTGTCTAAAGATCTGGGATTGCTTGTTTGATACAACCCTGCATGCAGATGGCCTTGTGTTTGGCTCCAGGAAATAGAATGCAATTTAAATTGTCAGGAGCCTTGATCATTTTATACAAAAGATATTTTAGACAAATTGCTCCACTTCCAGGCTAACATGAGCTTACATGAACATGTTGTGGGTGCTCAGGCCCACCAGGAAATGTCTCACCCCAAATTCCCATTCACCACTGCTCGAAAGAATAGGCTGCAGCACATCCACTTGCTTTATTACTCTCCAAGCAGCAGCATCCCACCGGGTACAGCCTCCTCTTTCCCTCATGCCTTAGCCCCACATTAGAGGCTTAGGCATGAGAAACACATCAGGGGAGGAGCTCGCGTCAAGCGGGATGCTGTCCCTAGGAGAGGGTTAGCGATAAAGTGAATAGCAGTGGTGTAGTCCGTTCCATGGAACCTAGAGCATATTAGTACAGAGATAAATGAAAGATGAGTTTTATGGAGAAATTGCAAATGTTTCCTTGTGTCCTGTAGTATTAATCATTTGTGTTCTTTTTAACAGATGTACTTATCTGATAGTGACTTTGCTGATATTTTTGGGATGCCTAAAGCCAAGTTCTATCAGCTACCCATATGGAAGCAGCAGAACATCAAGAAAAAACAGGGCCTGTTTTAAATCTGTATTCATTGTCATCTACGAGAAAACATCGAGGACCATCTTACTTCCAAAGTTATCTGTGCATCTGCATACCACAGTTCACATTCCTGTTTTCTAGTCTAGGTTTTGGATTTATTGAGGTTTCTTTCAATTCAGGCTTTTTCAGGAGCTGTGACCTTCAGAGTTTTTTTGTTTTTTTTATCATCCTATACCCCAGTTCTGATTTCCTAGACATATCCAAAACTAGGTCCACAAGGATGTATTCCACTTTTCTGTTCCTGATTTGTAAGATATTTTCCCATCTATGTCCACAATCATGGCATGCCCCAACTCCCAAGACATCATACATGCCATTTCCAACTAGGCTGCACTTCCAAGCGGTTTATTTTGTGAGGATGAATACACCTTAGACAACTGAACTCTCGATTATGGGTAGGAGATCAAAAAACAATAGAGCATGAAGACACAGTGGCTGATTCATAAATTGTTCACACAGCTCCTCTCTGTGCAAACTAAATGTTCTGCACTGTATGGTCACTGGATGATGCCGAGGAGCCTAGGAAATCCCTATGGTGCGTTGCTCCATATAGTGGCTCTTCGCTGTGTGATAAGTTTATAAATCTACCCCATAATCATTAAAACATTCATTAAGATAAACTTTAAAATCTGTTGTTTTTTTTTAAACAAGTCTATATGTGTATCCTGTGATATCATGAGAAAATGAGAATAATTTAGGTGAAGAGACCTGACTTAAACAGATGTGTATGACATGCTTACTGAATCACACAGTAGAAAAGGGCCTACTTATGATGTAAGAATATAGATTGCATTTTTTACTGATATATTGATTTTTATAGTTTTGTCTTTAAAAAAAAAATTCTCAACAAACATTTTGCCAACTCTTTTCAACCCACCTCTTTCAGAAGCAAACATAGGAAAAATGGAATTCTATAACGGTGGGGTTTTTTTTTTTGCTTTATTTCTTTTGTCACGGCAGTAAAATCTAGAAATGTTACATTCTGGCGGTCTGCCTGCACATTTCTGTACTCTGTATCTCAGCCTACATTCACAGCTCTATTATTTAGCTGTGGTGCATTTCAGGCACATTTATTTATGTGTGCTCCCATTTACTGTATCCCTATAGAAGGTGCGTTTCTCTAGAAACCAAAAATGTGCAAACAAGCAGGATTTTTATTTAATGCGCTACACCAAAACCCATAGATGTGAATACAGCCTCACATAGAGAGAAGATAAAGTTTGGGGCAAAATTGGGGGAACTTTAATAAATAAAAAATGCCTCCCTACTTCTAGAAATAGGAGGTGAGATTAAAACATACCTGCATTAAAATACAGCTTCTAAGGGTGCCCAAACACCTTACAATTTATCTGCAGATTTTCTGGGGTTCAATTGGAAAAGGTGCAACAAATTGGCCCAGGTGGAGATTACTCCATCCACACAGTTAAGTGTAGATGGTGGACTCTGTTCCACGTTTTCCATCTGACCACAGAAAATCTGCAGATAATTGTAAGGTGTGTGGGCAGCTTAACTCACCAACATGTCTCCAGAGCCATACTAAGCCTTTGTTGTAAATCTGTCATTTTTAATGACACGCCATTGTATAGTCATCCCTCTGCATATTCATTCACTGGTGCCATTCTCCCATCCAATGTCCTTATAAACGCCACATTAAACTTATTTCTGATAAGCATAGCTGTTGATTACAGATATTCTCCTATATATTGTAGTCTTTTTTTTATTTCCTCCGACACTACAGGGGAGGTGAGCGAAAGCAAAAATACAGCAGAAGAATGTGCCAAGGTGCAATATTTAAATAGCATTTTATTTTTTTGGTTTAATCATACAGTGTGATCTATTAAACTCACTCCAAAAGTTCATTATGTTGTGTTGACTTTTTTGTTTAGATACACAAAAACAGAACAGCTTTACAATCGTGTTGGGGTGTGCAATGTACCCTATAATACTCAACATTTCAGATTATGCTTTATGCAGCTGGTAAAAGATATTCAGAGGGGAATTTATCAAAATTAGAGCAGTTGCCCAGGGCAACCAATCAGCTTCTCTTTTCAGTTAAGATTTGAAAATGAAAGAGAGAAGCTGATTGGTTGCCATGCACAGCTGCTCCAGTTTTGATAAATTCCCCCCTCAGTATCTGAGATACATCAGAACATGATTTTATGGGCTTGAGTTTCTGGGATCAGGCAAGGGCAAAACTTTATATGCCTGCATTTGTTTCTACATGTGACTCACTCCCAATGTAGAGGGTTGTGGACTCGCTCTGATTTCTCCTTCCTTCTGGTCCCCTTCTTCTTCTCTCTCTTTGACTTAGATTTCAGGTTTTAACCTTAATTTGTATCTTTTTTAAAAATAATTTTCTGTTCCTTTTCTTTTTAGTTTCTTTTACTTTTTCTATAACTTCTTCTGGCTTCTTGCATCTAACCGTTGGGGTGGCCACCTGGCTCACTCACTTCTCCCCTTTTGGTTTCCAGGTCTTGTTTTGGTTTTTTTTTTTCCTTTGTTAGTTTTGCCTTCCAACTGTCTGATTTCTGTGTTTTGTTAAAAACAAAAAGAAGTCACCTTGGATTCGGTAGCAGTGGATGCGTCTCATTTTGAGACAGGATTACTGGGGTTAATCTAGAGCAGCGGTTCTCAATCTGTGGGTCGCGACCCCGGCGGGGGTCAAATGATGATTTGCCAGGGGTCGCCCGGGAGTCTGCCGCTATTAGATAGCGGTTCCAGGCCGCCCGGGAGAGAAACACTTTCTCCCGGAAAGGTTTATTCTGCTCGATCGAGCAGAGTAAACCTTTCCCTGTGATCGCTTTTTTTTTTCCAATAGCAAACTAGCTATTGCACCCGCGCTCTGCTGCTGCCAATCAGCAGAGGGGGACCTGAAGTTCTCCATCAGGTCCTCTTCTAGTGATTGACAGCAGCAGAGCGCGGGTGCAATAGCTAGTTTGCTATTGGCGGTGCACTAGCTATGCATTCCTATGGTGTTTTTTTTTTTCATTCTGACGGTGTACGCCAGCGGTTCTCAACCTGTGGTGTCGCTGTGTGATTTCTGCTGTGCTAGGTGAGAGTCCTCCTCAGCCCTCTCCTAGCGCAGCAGTCTCAGTTCTCCCGCCACGCCGCCAGATGTCGCTGCAGCAGCCGCGTCATCCCTAAATTTTACCGTTGGGGGTCACCACAACTTGGCAAATGTTACCAAGGGGTCCCGGCCCTAGAAAGGTTGAGAACCACTGATCTAGAGGATGCCATTTTTATTTAACGTCTCTCTGACCTCTCTGGGTTCCAATGATGTGCAGCCCCGGAGCACTCTTGGCTTAGCTGATTGGTCAGCCCTGATTGTACTTTACAAAGATATTTAGTTTGGATGCCGTCTCAGCATGCCCCTAGTTGTTATTCCACGACTCCACGTGACCTTCCACGGCCCTGTTAACGCTGGCTTCAGCTTGTATAACGGGGTACAACAAGATTTTTCTTAGAATTTGCAAAGCTCTCGGAAAACTTCAAGCAGTTTTGACGGCAGCCTTCAGTTTCAGGCTGTGGGTGTTAAACACAGACCATAATGGGAATGTTGGTTGTCACATGATACACGCTGCTAGGAGGTTAGGTTCCATAGTGCTGAATCTTACTGAAAGCCTTGCTCTAGCCTGCTAGTAGCTTCATTAAAATGGAGACAGTGTGACAGCCAGCACTCTCCATGTTAATCTGTGTTTAGGATCCTCAATCTGCAGCTGAAAGTGCCTTTTAAAAAGCTACTTGAAGCTTTGCTGTACACATTGAGTGTCACATGACCACACATTGAGTGTCACATGACACATGATATTACTTAAGTAAAAGGGAGTTTTAGATAAGAATTAAAAAATAAAATGGTGATTACTCCGTACAAACAAGCCGCACCTCCATGGATCTTCATAAATGAAAGCCACTTTTTATGAATATAACGGATACATACTGTGAAACAAAACCTCTCATGCATTTCACCGATCTGGCGTACTAGAGGGGGCTCTATGATAAAACGCATGAGAGGTTTTGTTTCACAGTATGTATCCGTTATATGGAGGTGCGGCTTGTATTTACAATCAGATTGTCCAATCAAGTTGTAAGTTAGAGATTGTCCAATCTGATAGACTCTGGCCATACAGCTATAGATTTTCCAATCGGATTAGGAATCCGAATGTCCAACCTGATTGGACAATTTGATTGTCCAATCAGATTGGACAATTTGATTGTCCAGATTGGGCAATGTGATTGGAAAATGTGATCATCCAATCTGATTGGACAATCTCTAACTCCCATTTGATTGATCTGATTTTCCAATTTCTATCTTGCAATCAGATTGGACGATTTGATCGGACCAATCTGATCAATCCAATTAAACTGTCCAATCAAATTGACCAATCAGATTAAACAAATCATCAGATTGGGCGATTTGATTGGACCAGATTGTCATCTGATCAGCCAATCAGATTGGTTAATTTCAATTTTATGTTAGAGATTTTCCACTTTGAGCAATCAGATTGGTGCAATCAGATTGGTGCAATCAGATTGGTGCAATCAGATTGGTGCAATCAGATTGTCATCACCCTGATCGGTCTCTAACATAAAATTTAAATAAAAAATTGGTCCAATGAAATCTGATTGGACAATTTGATTGGGCCAATCGGATTGGACGATTTGATTGGGTCAATCGGATTGGACCAATCAGATTGGATGATTTGATTAGACCAATCAGATTGTCATCTGATCAGCCAATCAGATTGGTTAATTTCAATTATGTTAGAGATTTTCCACTTTGAGCAATCAGATTGGACAGGTCTTATCGGTCATAAACCCTGGAGCATCTCACCATGTGTAGGTAACACATACACTGTCCACAGTCCTCCAGCCAGTGCTTCACAATACATCCACAGCTGTGCCAGAGGAAGGCAAAAAAGCATGCGCCAATTTTCTCTAACAGCAGAAAAAAAATGTGTCCCACCGGAGGAAACTTCACAAAGAAATAAATGAAATGCGTTTCCCACACACACAGCAATCTGCCGACTCGTATGAGAGGTTTCTATGTAAATCACGTTCACATAACTGACAGGAATAGACAATCGGCTAATATTATGAAGAGCAGCATACTGCAAAAGGTCTTCGGGTTTAACTAAATTCATGTGTTAGAGGTTTGGAATCCCATCAACAGAATTTTATTGGAATGTTGACTTTCTTAAAGCGACACCAAACTCAGGAGTTCAATCTTAAACATACATTCGAGTACCCGAACTATTCATAGAAATGTATCTTATTTGTGTATCACTCTGCTGTACATCCTCCAATCATCTCTGAACTCATGCTGACACTGTCCTTCCTTCTGATGATTGGAGGATGTACAGCCCAGTGACACACACATAAGATACATTTCTATGAATAGTTCGGCTACTCGAATGTATGTTTAAGATTGAACTCCTGAGTTTGGTGTCACTTTAGATTGCACTGCATCGTGATATGTGGACAGTTTATGGCACATATTCGAGTCCTTCAATCATTGTAGCATGTTGCATGTCAGGCAGTTCCTGTGATTGCCCTCTAATGGCTGAGCGTGGACATGAAAACACAACGGAAGAACAGGCCTGAAAACTTTTATTTGCAAACGATGTATCCCATTTATCAGAGTATTATATTTTTGGGAATAAAGTAAACAGATTGAGGGATACATGAGATCATTCAGACAGAAAATAGACGGTACAGGCTCTTGAAATAGTTACAGGTCTTACAGCAGTTGTACATGAAACAGGAAATAATATTAACATTAAACTTAGACAATCTGTGGCCTATAAAACAAGCTGACATACACCACAAAGCAAACGTATCTGTTTATTTGACTTCAGGAAAGGTTGAAGCTGAACTCAAGGTATAAAGTATTCATGTCATTAAAGTCATTGCTCCAGCTTTGCCCAATGTAAGGATACATATTGTATACCTGGTAGGGCCATGGGAATCCTGCAACGCACGTTAGTAGCTGGAGCTACTAAAGTTTTCTATAGCGATCTTCCGTGTCCTGTACTACCGCTGTGCTGAGTGACTTCCCCTCTGCTATGAAAACACAGGGGGTCACTTGCTCAGCACAACAACCATTCAGCGAATACCTAGAGGGGAATTAATAAAAATTGGAGCAGACAGAATCTGAAGCAGTTGCCCATGGCAAACAATCGGCTTCTCTCCAGTTTGTTCAGCTACGCTTTGAAAATGGAAGACTGAAGCTGATAGGTTGCCATGGGCAACTGCTCCACATTTTGTCTACTCCAGTTTTGATAAATTCCCCTCCTGGTATTTTATATCAATGAATGCTAGGCATTCTCTGATTGGATGTGGGACAGATCATGATGTCCCACTCTTCACACAATCAAAGAAAACATCAACTATTCATTGCTAAAAATACTAGGTGTTCCGTGAATTACAGGTGTGTGAAGCAAGCAACCCTTTGTGTTTTCAGAGCAGATGGGAAGTCACTCAGCACAACGCACTACAGGACCTGGAAGATCACGGGAAGGCAATGTCTGGCAACTACAGTGCTTTACAGGCTCCCTGTGACCCGACCAGGTGTATAATATGCATTCTTACATTGGGTCAAGCTGGACCAGCATTAGCATTTCTATAGACTGATATCTGTGCAACACTAGAGGTTTTATTAGCAAGATGCAATACCTTCTAGAAACCAATCAAAAACAGACATTTACCTCATGGCAAGTTCCAGATAAAACTAACTTTTGAACATAAGGTAACATTTCCTCTCATTTCCTGACCCGGTGACACACACATAAAGTGACCCGGTGACACATACATCCCTTCCCCACTCTACCTAAAAGGTGTGTCTATTGCTGTAAAAGGTCACTTCTTGTCTCAATGGTCAGGAGGTAAAAGGGTAAAAAGGTATAAATGGGAAGTGACATCTACCAAAGAAGTCAAATATTCTAACCCTCCTATTTTATAACAATAACAAATTGGCAAAATTCCACTTTTACTTTTATTAACTAGAAAAGCGGATTTGGTCGGTGTTGGTTACTGAACCCAAACAGCATTTGCATTATATTATTAAACAAACACCATTACTTGCAAGATAAGCCGGGGTGACGAGGGACACATTGTAATGTAATAGAAGATAGATTTCAAGGAATGAGAACTAACTGACAGATAGTTAATCAAGCACAAATTAATATGTTTACATTTCTAATGTGCATAGCTGTTTAAATACAAATGTAGATCACAGTGTCTTGTAGTGTATTGGAAAACGATGACACACAGGTTGTCACCTTTAGACATGGTGAGTGATGGGATTAGTGACATCTTAGCTCAGCGAGTCAGAACCTATGGGGAGAATCTGTAGGAAACGAATCAAAGCAACTGGGACTTGAGCTTTTTTTTCTTGAAGCCCTTTTGCTAGTCATCCAACTAGCTTTCTCAATTCAGAATGACTCCTGCAATCAGCACCTTACCTCCATGAGGTCTCTGACCCTGCCCGTGCTGGCTATGAAAAACAGATTATGTTGATTGGAGCAACGATCACCATAAACGACTTCAAGAAAAATACAGCAAGTCCAGTTGCTTTGATTTGTTTCTTAAGGTGCCCATACACCTGCCGATTAACTAACGATAATCGCTGTGTGATCCCGCGATCGTACGATAATCGGCAGGTGTATGGAAGGCGTTCAACCGTTTCTACTGTACGGTCGCACGTCTATTGTCTTCTAAGCATGCTAGAAAACCTACCGAAAATCGTACGTTTTTTGGCGGGTTAGTGGCGTGCTCGGAAGACAAATGCCGAACGGGCCCGGTGTGCGCAAGCTGCCTGCTCAGCATTGCAATCATCGGCAAGCCCTCCCCTCAGCGGGGAGGGCTTGCGATGATCGCAAGTACGATCTGCCTGTCCAAGATGGGCAGATCGTACGAGATTCTAATTACCTTACAACCATCGCACAACAAAAGTCGTGGGGTGGTAGTAAGGTTTATGGGCACCTTTACAGTCGTATCACGACTTGGATGAATGAGAACCTTCAAATACTTATGAGGAACATCCTAAACCTCCTAATTCTACAGAGGGCAATCAATGGGCTAGTTAGCAGCAGAGAACCCATGAAACCTACACGTGCAAAACCACAATATAAGTATGAATATTCCCTCATCTGAACAATACACAACCAATCCTTGTAGGCTCACCCCCCAAAAAACTTGACTCCTATTGTGACAGCATAGTTCGAGGCATATGAGGTACAGTAATAATATATGAACCCTGTGTATAGTTTGAGTACAATATTACGGTCTGTCAGTCTCTAGCCGTTAGGCAGTACTAGGGCTAGACTGTTCATGAGCTGAGCTTAGTATTTATTTACATGCTATCTTAACCCATTTTATCTTTTAAGGCACATGCAGCTCAGGCTACCATGCTAAGGCTTCTGGGTAATCCGTTCCAGATTTCATTACCTGAGTACATAGAAAATGCATAGATTGATGCAGATTGTCACATATGCCATATTTTATAAGTACACAGTGAGGCAGGAACAGTCCAATAAACTTACAAATAACCAGAACATGCTCGGATATCTCTAAATTCATTACAGTATCAAAAACAAGAACTGGCCGATTGCCCTACAGGCGCTCAATTTTCCAATAAGTCATATTTCGGTTTCTACGATCAATATAGACAGTTTTTGTTTTGGATACCTATAGAAATTCACTGTATTGCACAGTATCGCATATAACGCGTTCTGGGGCTGCTCGAAAAATCTAATTCTGGGGTGCCGTACGGGGTCCCAGCCTACAGATTTCTCCATCTCTGATCTTGCAAGGTGTCAAAGTGCTATTTTGGCACAAAGTTCCCTTTCGAGATCATATACTTTAAAGCGAAAATAAAAAAATAAGGATTTTCAATCACTAAACATGGAAGTCAAAACTAACCTTTCTAAAACCTCAGTAAAACTTTTAAAATTATAATACATTAAAACTGGTATAAAAATAGGCTAACCGTTGCCGAACAACCATGTCTAGCAATTAAAAACAAATCTGACCTAAAAAATGTCAGTTAAAAATGAAATAATGTAAACGTAGTTGTAGATCAGACTTTGGCTTCCTGGAGCATGGTGTGCACAAACAATGTGGCGGAAGGAAGGGGATCTCCATTTCGATTCAGTAGGTGGATGTGACGATAGCCTGGGATAAAAACAACCAAATTTGGATAAATACCTCAGACAGTGACAACATGAAAATCAAATACATTAAAGTAAAAAAAAAAAAGAAATTGCTTGGTTTGAAAATCAAGAAAGCACCAAAAGATTGGGGGAGGGGGTTAGGGCAGCATAAAATGCTCGCCTTGGTGTTGGTTCTGCTCTGCTGCTTGAAAGTCCAGGTATGAACAACCTTGAAGTTCCGTCAGCCTGCGCCTCTTTATCTCTCTCCTGGGTCTATGGGAAAATTCCTCTTACACAGGGAGATGGATCAGATACCATCACATTATTGCCCATTTACACTATAGTGTTGGGGTAATGTACATTACATGCGTCACTGCGTTTTGATGCCATTCACATTAAATAGCACCCCAACGCACCAAGACAACTCAGCTGCATTACAGCATGCCGCAATGCATGGCAACACACAATAATGCCTTATTGTACAAAAAATAGGTCACGTCTGATTATCAGGACTTTAGGATGCGTTGGCAATCCATTCATTTCAAAGGGGCTACCTTAATGCACCACACAAATGTAAATGGGCCCTTAGTGTTTTTGGGGATATCACAATTACATGGCTAATGTAAGCAGTATGTGTCATTTGATTGTAAAATATGTTTATACTCTATTAACACCAATTACAGCTATTGTTAGCCCTGATGAAGGTGGTACGTACCCCTGAAGCCCGTTGGCTCTCCTTTAACCTTTAATAAACACTTTACCTTCATAGAGATCATAATCTTTTTGGGGTTTTCCTTTGGACACCAGCACTGCTCCAATTCTTGCTAGTGGAGTACATCTATTTCATCAGGATTTAAATACTGACTGTGTCCCTACAGAGAACAATTCTGTTCTCTTCCTATTCAACCTACCACGTCAGCTGGAGAAGAAATGGGGAAAGCCTTCCCCATTTGTTGCTCGCTCTGTTAGAATATATCATTGGTTGTGTTGAGGAGCAGCTGCCACAGGATGCCCTGTAGGTGCCCACCTGATTGAGTTCCGAAAGACTAAGGGCCTGGCGACGCTCATTAAATGGACAAGGTTGGACGCTATGGCATTCCATTCGATTTTATATTGTGTTGTGGGAATATGCTCAGCCCCGGGGCTGGAGGTGGCACACGTTCTCTTGGGGTAGGGTGGGGGGAGGGGAGTTATGTTATGTATGTTTTGTTAATTAATTCCTTTTGTAAGGAAGTGCAGGTGGAGTATGTATAGGTTATACCTGTTAGTAACTAAGTATGCGCCCCTACTGCTGTAGGAGGAATGTTGTAATGCGAAAATTGAATAAAAAGAATAAAAAAAAAAAAAGAAGAATATATCATTTTATTGCTGCCTGTGCTAGGGGGACACAGGCAATACTTCCTGTTCTAACACCAAACAAATAGAAAGTGGGCAGATTTTCTCTGACTTCCCGTTTGACAAATCTGACAAAATTAAATAGACCGGAAGCAACGAGAAATCCCCCAATTAAAAGTTAACAGATTTGAACCCTTCTTCGCTTGATCCAACACAAAGTTTTATCTGGAGTTGGCCTTCATGTAAGCCCAAACCTGGAAACATGGAAATATTAGGCTACTGGGGTAAACAAGATGGGGGTACAGTATATTATAATATATATATTAACTCCTTAAGGACCAATAACACGATTAGGCCGTCATGGTTGTCCGTGCCATAAGGACCCAAGGCGGAATAATTCCATCATGGGTCCTTAAGGTTTTAAGTTTGTGTCATGTGCTAAATGAGAACCTATATATGCATATGTCATATCAAATGAAAGCTCTTTTTGGCCTTTCAAAAACGGTATATAATGTGTGTTGGGGCAATAAATGAGAAAGATGGAAATTGTGGTTGAACACACATAGCACATATTGGTTTTGGTCCTTATCTGAAATACAAGCATCTAAAGCTTGGTCCTTAAGGGGTTTTTATAATGCTCAGGCAAACATAGCAATACACATGAAGTTTCAATCTCACAATGAACATGTTTGTACCTAGCTGTAAGCTGGTGAGTGGAACAGTGTACTGCCCCACAAAGTCGTTTCTCGAAGAGGCATCATAATCCTCCACCAGGAATCGCACAAGAGCGAGGGTGGGCACGTCGATTAAAAATTCAAAATGCTCATTCCACATTGGGCTGAATCCTAAAATAGGCCGGGCAAGAAAAGCAAAACTGGTCAGTGTCTGCTGTCATATTCTATAAAAGAAAACACCAGATGCGTTATATGAAACACAATTTTACAATTGTATTTAATGTGTTTATTAGAATATATAAAATGG